AGGCCTAAGAGATGTGTTGCCTTCATAATTAAAAGGTGATATGTCTGTGGTCTACGTAAAACAAAATCGGCAAAAGTAACTTAAAATAAAAACAATATGAAATAGAAGATTTTAGTAAAAATAACTTTACCTTAATATATTTTATATATCTGATCTTTCCGATGTTGTGTTCCACCAGCTCATAATATGAAAAGGATATAAAGATAAAATGAACAGAATATAGATAGATAAAAATCAGAGATAAAAACAAGTCTCAGGCCTGAGTGGCGGTTCTTCCGCTATTGTTTATGCCATGCGCACTTTCATCTGCGCAGTGACAGTACCGCACAGCGGTTATTACAGGAAGCAACGCCTTTTTCCCTTTCACAAAATTGTGCCGTTTTGACTTTCCTCTTGTGCGGATATGAGGGGAAACTCCAGCATTTCACTTGCTACAACCCCTCCCATGGCCCGAGAGTGGTCAGGGCGTCGCCTCCACTCGACCCTAGGTCCGCCTTAGGCCTGCTTATTCCCTATGGCATCATGGGAATCACGGCGATTAGACAAACCATTCATGCTCCCAACTCTTCTCAATTGGAAAGACCACATTGGTCAGTTAAAGAATAAATGTTAAAAAGCACTAAATTTATTAAAGTGCATTTCTGGTAATAAATGGGGAGCTGATAGACAGTCTTTGCTAATGATATATAAAGCCCTGATTAGGTCTAAAGTAGATTATGGGTCCATCGTGTATGGTTCGGCATCGAGAACAAGTTTGAAAGGTTTGGATGCTGTGCAGAATGCTTGTTTGCGTGTGTGTGTGGGAGCCCTAAAATGCACTCGGATCGAGCGTCTTGAGGTGGAGTCAGGAGTACCTCCCCTCCGAGTCAGACGCGACCAGTTAGCCCTGAGCTGTGCCGCGAAGGTGGCTCGAGACCCGAACCACCCTAATGGCAATGGAGGCACTAGGCCCTTTGCCACGAGACTCCACGACCTCGTCGAGAAAGTCGGTATAGATCTCTCTACCATCGATACCCTGGTTCAGTCAAATATAGCGCCATGGGAAACCCCCAATTTTTCTATCATGGAAGCCTGGCTTCCATCAGCCAAGGCCATGGCACCGGAGGTGGAGGTACGCCAGAGGTTCAGAGAGATCCTTATTAAACATCTTAATTTTTTTCATATATATACCGACGGCTCCAAGACGGATGAATGTGTGGGTGCGGGTGTATGGTCGACTGAATGTGAACTAAAGTTCAGACTGCCGAATCATACATCGATTTTTATTGCTGAACTTTTTGCTATTGATAAAGCCATTGATTTTGCACTATCGACGACCCACGGTAGAATAGTTATTTTTTCTGACTCACTAAGTTCACTTAAAGCTATTAAATCCTTAGAAACCACTAAAAATGAATTACTGGGTAATATCATTCGCAAGTTACATGGTGCCAACAAATCAATCAAGCTAATATGGGTGCCAGGCCACTCTGGTATCCATGGCAATGAACAGGCTGACACACTAGCTGGGTCAACTGGCGATCTGGACACTACCATAGTTCGTACAGATCTCAGGTGTTTTGTGTCTCTTATAAAAGCAAAAATACATCTAATGTGGCAAAGTGACTGGACCAACCTCCAACTCACAAACAAATACAAACCAGAAATAGGACTGTGGGATACATCCCACAGGAAAGCAAGAAGGGAGGAGGTGGTTTTGGCCCGCCTCAGGGTCAATGCCACGAGAATCACCCACCTCACTCCATATTTAGAAAAAAACTTTCCTCCACAGTGCCCTCAGTGCACCACCACCCTTACCATACCTCATATATTGATAATATGCCCAAACTATAACAACCATAGAAGACCACTCAAAAATTACCTAGGAATAAAAAATATAGATTTTACAACAACAAATCTTTTATCTAAAGCTGAAAAAATCATCAGTAAAGTAATCACTTTTTTAAGGGAGACAAAACTTTATGACCTTATATAGATTGATAGAATAAATAGGATCCATTGGCTTAATAACCTTGGCCACATGCCACTGGTTGATAGCCAAGAAATCAAACAAACAAACAAACAAACAAATCGATGATGTTATTATTATTATAAATATAAAATTACTAAAATGTTTTTTAACATTAGTAACAGCAAAATAAGACAACGTAAAATATTTTGTTAATCAAGGAAAAGGGTAAACGGGCTAGGCAGGCAGTACTCGTAACTGGCTCATTAGTGACTAAGCCATCTATGAGCAAAAACAATCAAACAAGTACTCACGGTGGTCATAGCACGTCATACCTGTCGGCATTAGGATATATATATAGATATATATATAGATATATATAGCTATGTATATATATATATATAGCTGTATATGTACATCTATATATATAGCTATATACATATATACATAACTATATATCTATATATAGATATAGATATATAGCTATATATATAGCTATAGATATATAGCTATTTATATAAATATATAGCTATATATATATATATATATATATATATATATATATATATATATATATATTTATACATAGCTATAGATATATATATATATATATATATATATATATATATATATATATATAGCTACATATATACATATATATAGCTATATATATACATATTTATATAGCTATATATATATCTATATATCTATATATCTATCTATCTATATATATATATATATATATATATATATATATATATAGCTATATGTATATATATTACCATATATATATATATATTTTTTTTTTTTTCATTAGCCATTCATTCCACTGCAAGACATATGCCTCTCTCAATTCAGTATTGAGAGGTTATATGGCAGTGTCACCTTTACCTGATTGAATGCCCTTCCTAATTAACCGCGGTGACTTCCCCTACGACACCTGCGTTTGACTTCTCAAGCCGATATGCCCTTTTTACGAAAGCCGCGACGGAGAATGGAACCCGGGATCACGAGGGTTAGAGTCCAGTGCTCTAACGACTACCGCGACGGGAATTAAACCCGGGACCACGAGGGTCGGAGTCCAGTGCTCTAACCACTGAGCTATCGCGGC